ATCAACTATGTATCGGTGTATATATGTTGTATTTTTATAAAGCACAAGTCGCATTAAAATTTCAAATCGAATGTGCAAAACAATTCACTTTGTTTTCAGTAGAGTGCACATAACTTGCGTATCGCCAAACGAAAACTCTCTTTTGGCCTTTATTTTTGCTAAGGAAAATATCCACCATGAAGAGCGATGTCACACGGGCACTGTTAGTGCGGTGCGTCATCGCAACGCTATGGTTTCAACGCACTGAGTGCCACACGAGCAATGAGCAATGTGGCGTCACAACGTAACGCCGCTTACTTAGGCACCGCAGCACCCCTCCCCGCTTCGTCTCCTGGCCCCTTGTCCGGTGAGCATGCGTTCCATCGCCGCACGCCGTTTCAACGCATGTTGTTCTAATCAGCGCCACCGCTCAGGTTGCGACGCAAACCCGACGCAACGCATCGTGTAGCGTTACTCGAAATTGAACTCTTCGTATTAATATTTTTATTGTGCCCCGAGCACCGCGTAAAAATCTTGCTAAGATTTGTGACTTTATGTGACGTGAAACAGACTGAATTTGCGAGAAAAAATGGTAACCAATCCTACGCCAAATCCATTTTTTATATACCGTATTCTGACTAAGTCGTTTATTCTAAATCTATGGACCTTTAGTTTATTTATTTTTATTGTAATTGTACAAATTACAGAATACAGATTACAGCATTATTTTGAAACAAAATTATTTTAAAAAGAAACATCAGTAAATCTGCATTCCAATTATAACTGTACACAGCATTCAGAAAACCATAGACTGTGCGATCTTATGAACAAAAAACAAGAATAACGATATAGTACAATTTGTAGAAATTATTACTACTTGAGCTTGATTAGCAAATAATTGAGGTCGGCGAACTAAACGAGTTCGCACCCTTATATAGATCCTATCCAGTAATATGTCACCAAGTCCACCATTAACTATTTTGTGCAATGTACATAAGTCACCGGTAAATCGACGGTGGGTAAGGGTTTCTACATGAAATTTATTGAGTCTGTTTTTATAACCTAACAACTTACGTCTCAATCCAAATCTACTACAAAGCATTCTTAGAAATCGACGTTGAACAGATTCTATCTGATCGATGTGTGCTTATACAGACTGACTAGCGCTTACATAGATCTCTTCTTCAGCACGTCTAATATTTGTGATGTGTTAAATTTTGAATATAAAACATAGCGTGACATTGTTCTAAACATAAAATGTAATATATCTAAAAATCATTAATAGACAATGTCACGTCTATCTTTAAACTTAATTTTAGTTTTATTTTATTTTATTTAATCAACAAAGTTTCTGCATAAGTATTATGCATATTTTACAAATGTCCTATAGGCAGTACAACAGCCAATTACAGAAACTCACTACGTATGTAAAATATATGTGACATCGTTACGACTTTGGGTGAAAAAATAAATTAAAACTTTTATTATAAAAACAGAATACATAACTAACTGTAAATTGCTAACATAAATTGTCATTTATGTGTAGGAATGTGTGCGTGTGTGATGGTGCGTAAGTGTCTGCCTCCCGCTCTTTCCTGAAAGAATGTGCTAGGCTAATGTGCTCATATTTTAAGTAAATTATATTTAAGAGATTCAAAATGCAAAGCACAAAAGCGTGCCATTTGTTAAAGTTACTTGGAAAACACTTAATAGTAGCTAAAATACATTTCGGGTTAACTAGAAATTGTGACACAAATTGCATCGCATTACGTTCGAGGTTGTACGATCGTTTGACAGATATTGGCTTGTCAAAGCATACAGGGAATTGGGTCTCCTATAAAACCGTATGTGTCTCGTGACGTTAGGAAATTGGAAGACTGTAAACAAATCATCATCACCATCAATCCATTTATACGAGAATGATGAGTGCTTTTAGAGATTAGAAATAAGACACATTTATTATATGAACTGGTAGAATAAAGATGTTACATTCAATATGATTCACAGTTCTTACCCAAGTCGAGAGTACAATGTCATAAAATTACTGTCATTAAAACTCCATTAAAATACTACAATTTAAATGTTCATAAAATAACATGAAACATGATACACTATTAAAAATAGTTGTCAAAGTCAAATAATTGATCTCTCTTTGTAAAATTCGATTGAATTATAGAATACATTGCCACTTAGCCATTTATATAAATAAGCCTTTAACATTAATCGGAAGTGTGTCGTTACGTAAGTGGTGCTTTTATGAGCCTAAATGTAAAAAAAAGCTAAACTAAAGAAGTTAAATGCTAGAATAGCCTGTGGAATGTACACTTCAAATAGATAATGCCATTACGGCCGAATTAGGAAGTCCTGTATCTAGATATTCAGCGCCTTACCCCTTGGTGTAACAATGTACGAATAATTTGTAGGAGAATCGAAATTTAAATCAGTTCTAACTGCTTTAGGAGATTGAATTACTAATTTTGGAGCAGGAAAATTTGTCTTTATGTAAGTATGTGTATTATGTACTCGTATGTGCGCGTGACAATTAAATACGCTGTCAATCCATGTGATTGAGAATACTGCGAAGTATATTTTTTTTACGATATCAAGTGAACAAGTCGTGCACCTGGTGGTAAGTGACACGCCTGGCCATGACAGTTGCAATGCCACTCAGAGAGATCTGAGGGACACTGCCACTGCGCCTGTCACCCTGATACATAACTTGACAAGTCTCATGTGCCTGTAATTTCACCAGCACCCTTACCCTTCAAAACCGGAACACAGTAATGCGGACATTACTGCTTGGCGGCAGAAGTAGGTAAGGTGGCAGTACTTCCCTGGACGAACTCTTTTACAAGGAGCTCTACTGCTACTAAGCTACATTATCTATAGCCGATAGCCTTGTATAATAGCGATGTATAATGGGACGTAGCGTAGGCACCGCTCTGCTTTCCTTATCATAAACAACGTAATCTACATTTTCAACCGCCTTCAAAAAAGGAGGAGCCTCTCAATTCGACTGTATTTTTGTTATATGTATGTTACGCGATAACTCCGCGATACGCGATACGCGATAACATTTGTGAACCGATTTTGATGATTATTTTTTATTGGAAGTATACTTCAGTATTGGTTCCATTTAAATTTTAACAAAATATTCCACCTCTAAAGGTGGCAAACTAGGAGATGAATCCAGTTTCGTACACTTTCCGGTAACAGATTACAATAAAACTTGGCAAATGAATGAAGTCCACGAACTTTTGAGGTTGTTTTTTTAGTACTCTGTACTGTACTGAGGGTGTTATTGACGAAATAAGTAATTAAAGTATCTGGAATCAGCGGAAAGGGCACTATAACCCCTATAAGCCTATAAGCCTATAAGCCGTTTCTCATATCTTATTTATTACAGTTTTATTTCAAAGAAAATAAAACTATAGGTGCCAATATCTGGAAAGTTACCAAAATTCTATTATTTTTGACAAGGATATTGGTGCTGCCAGCGCTGTTTTGGAAAGTACCTACATTTCGGTTACACGACTCACGAGAAAATCGAATTCTATATATCATTCATGTTCACTTTCCTTTGTTCCTTTTACTATTTTTATGTTATAAAGAAAAGTAACTGAAAATCACAGCAACTCGAAATGACAAGAACAAAAGAAAGGATTGCAGACGAAAAAAGCAAAGCTGAGTGTGCGAAATTAACATCGCTTATCATAACCTCGACAATCTGCGAAAGTATCAGTTGACGAAGCATTAGATATTCCGGGAACGCACGAAAAGGGAACTCGACCCACATTGATCAGTGCCCTGTTCCTACTCAATATATTTACTTAACCAAAATCCAATGAGACCCGGGGGGTCCTACGGAAGCAACAGGGCCCGCTAGTCACATAACATTGCTTTACGGACCATAAAAAGTTGGACGGCAGCCTTATATTTTGAATTATACTTTATAGATGTATAACCGTCCATTTTATGTTTACGCCTAGTATAAGCATCACTTATCTAGACGTACAATTGCAGAACTCTCGTACTGACCCCATAAATCTTACGTAACTTCACAATTACGCACATCTAATGTAATTAACAATTGAATGTGGACATTAATCAAACGAATTTTGCTAATATACTCATGTTTGATGAAAACACCTAATTAGAAAGGCAGAGACATCTGGTGAAGCACTCGCTCGTTGACATGATCAAAGGTCTACATTAATTTTATATGAAGCGACACCCACCGCCAGCGGCCAAGTGAGCTGTGCACAGAAAAGCCAGTTAGTCATTAATCAAAGTTAAAGGGCAGAAAAAGTAATAGTCAAAGTTACGGAAGTGACAACTATGTTTTTGCAATGAGCTAAATAAACAATTCACAGAACGCCAAGCAAAGCGAAACACGTGTTACAAAGGCGAGAACATTAATACGAAATTAGCGGGATGTACATAAATAATATATACATTAAAAATGATTAAAAAGTACATTATTGTCCTGTCCTAACATTTAGTAACTACATATATGTATATATTAATATTGTATAATTTCATAGTCGGTGTTTTGTAGAAGGGGCGAAAACGCCATTTCGACAATTTTTTCGGGGAGCATATTGTAGTTTTTAACGAATGTTTTCAAATATTTACGTCTTGTTTTAAAATTCATTTTTGCTTTTATTCTGTTTTGACGTAAAAGTAACGGGAGCATTCTCCTGAAAAAAAATCTCGAAATGGCGCTTTCGCCTTTTCTACAAAACACCGGCGATATACGTATTAATATTCTACGAGCATATATTATATTAATTAGACGAGGCAATATCTTAAGCATGTTCATCGACTTACTTTACAGTTTTTAATTAGCAATGATAGAACCCGGAGAGAGTCTGGGGGTGCAGAGTGCAGGAGGGTGCAGCGGTGGCCGGGAGCCGGCGGGGCAGGGCGCGGGGCGCGGGGCATGCACCTGGGCGGCGGCCGGCGCCTGGCAAGGCGGCCCACGTGCCCGGGCTCAGTCGCTGAGCCGCCTCGCGAGCGCCGCGCCGCCCGGCCGCCTCTTCCGCCACGCCGCCAAGCGACAGGTGGCGCCGAGTCTGCCTCGCCGCCGACGCCCGCACCCGCCGCGTGCGGCCCGCCTGCGCGCTCGCTCTCCCGCTCCGACTGGCTCTACACCGCTGATTCAATTTATAAGGCCCGCTTTTAACCCTGAAACTTTAACATAACGTTTGTTAATTACATACCTGTGCAGTGCTAAGCCTTTTCCTTACCGAGGAATGGTTAACACCAGTTGATTGAAGTGTTTTGGTGTCGCTTAGATTTGTTATCATGACTTGGATTCGTCTGGGATTTTAAAAATTACCGTTTTAAGTCGAGGTGCCGTAAGTATTATAAACAATTAATATATAAGTTATAGACCATGTAAGTTAATATGCTAATATTTATTTTAATTATTTTCTTGTTTTAAGTCAAATTTATATTTATACCGTAAGCGAGCATTTACTTAAGATCAGATTGTTTGAGGATCGGGTGGCAGAGGTTCGACTCATTAAGAGAGAATTTGAGTGCGCGATTATGCGCCGTCCGCTACCACTAATGGGATAATTACCTGGGTAATTGGGGCACAAAACATGTCGCGGGAGACGGTAAATAATAAATTCAGATGATTAATCACTTCGTATTCTTCTCAAAAATTTACTCCGTCTTTGAAATATTTCTACATCCGATATTTTCACGATGTTCCTTCAAAATCGCTGCTTTCATTCTATTATAAATTAAACGCAATGACTTAACACGAAATGCACAAAAAGCCTGTTATCGTGTCAACCAACTTATAACACACAGATAACTCGTAAACTTCATTAACTTATTCAGCGCTGAGCTTGATCCGCAACGGATTCTCCAAGACGCCTGGCCGGCCAATAACCAGCCAGCAGGAACTTTGAATGCAACTCCGTCCGACAATTTGACTTCACGTAGTTAAATTGTATCCAAGCTACTGCATGAAACATTTTGAGTGTTGGACCTGAGCCAAAACGGGTACAAAACACCGCGGTCAGACGCTTTTCAAAATATCTGATTCATTTGACAATGAAAGATGATATGTGCTCTGGCGATTGATGCGAATTTTGCCAAGCATAATGCGAGTTATTCATATGATTAACTGTGCACTATAACTTCTACAGTACTATCTGGAACAGCATGCCAAGCTTCTCTACCAATTAAACTTTTTACACTCATGATAATTTGACTCTATCGTCTGGTGATGTTTTTAAGAATCGAAACAAAGGATTAACATTACAACTTATTAAAAAAAGACACAGTAAAACTGCCCAAAAATGATTAATGCCAGCAGTTCTGTTTTTGCTAATACGTTGGGCAAGATTCTCTTTTACCCTTGTGTCTTCCATTCGGTTAATTCATTTATGGTTTTGTGGGCGCCGAGGTGCCCGGAAGTTTTCACTTCGAAGGGTGCAAATAAGTGGTTGAAACCGAGGTCTCAGTGTTGTTAAACCATGTCCATGTCCGCTTTAATTTGATATCGCCTTTTATAGGTACATGATACTCAAAATCGTTTAATAAATCGCTCATATTATTTATTTATTGTCTTTGACGGTGCTGTTTTTCATGATAGTAAAATTCTTCATACTTTACACACCTATACAAGATAATCTCAGTACAGAGTACTGAGTAAAAAAACCGACTTCAAAAGTACGTGGAATTTCATATAATTACTAAGTTTTATTGAAATCGGTTCCCTGAAAGTGCGCAAACCCGGATTCATCCCCTAGTTCACCACTATACGGGACTTGACACAGGAGATATTAAAAATCGGTTCTCATTACTCAAAGTATATTGAGAGAGAAAAACGCCTTGAATTGGAGAATAGCAAAATCAACCATTAAAATAATTGCTTCTTATAATAAAATTTAGGCGCTATTTATAAAAATGAATCTTCGTACGTGAACAGCCACCCTTAGAGGTGGATGATTTTCTTTAAAATTAAATGGGACCACTATGGAGGTACCCTCTTTCCAACAAAAATAATCATGAAAATCGGTTCACAATTACCGGAGTTATCGCGTAACATACATACAAAAAAAAACAATCGAATTGAGAACCTCCTCCTTTTTTTAAGTCGGTTAAAAATTGTTTGAATTTGAGCCAAGCAGAAGACAAAGTTGCATAGATAGCAAAATTTACAACGTGACAACTGGTGTGTTGTTGTTTAAAAAAAAAAAAAGGTATGGTCTCATACATTCTTGGGTATAATTCTGCACACACGGCCACCTACTTTAGCCACGTGTCGCGCTTTAGTATACGTAATTCATACTTTATTTTACGCAGTACGTTACCAACTGTCCACCGATACATGACTACTGACCCGAGAGATAGGGAGTTCCGGTGAGACTATGGGCTTCCCGGTTAGACCAGGGTACAGTGGGCATTCTGGACAAGCCCTCTGCCAGTGATACGCCTTCATCTCCAGTGAACCAGGACTTGGGTATGGACTCGCCGGGGTTTGTAGTTAGCTGTAGGAATGAATACGCTCGTCTGCCCCAGTAGCATGCGGCCGGGGTTTTCATCCCACGCGCAGTTAGCGCATCTTAGTAGCGGTCTTGATGAGGTCACGTGAGAGTTGCTTTTTAAGTCGGAAGCTATGTCCGAGCACTGTCGTAGGACACTGCGATCGGCACCTCCGGTACCAGTCCGCCGGGTTAGTAGAGGATGAGCTAGATATCCACCTATCCCTCCAGCTGCGTAGGTTTCTGGGAACTGCAGAGACGCTTCGGCGTCGAGAGGTGAGCGTGTCGGCCGCTCCGCCACCAAAGTGGAGATTTGGTAATGGATATTAGAGTCAACGGCTTAGCGATGGCAACCATTAGTTGCGCAATGCGCAATGGGAAGTTAGCGTGCCTACGTCTCCGGTACCTATCTGGAAAATAGGGAGATAGCTGTAGGTGCACCCGGGGTAGCTCACCGGATGATGTCTGTGCAAACGGGCTGATCTGGGGTCAGGACCTGATTGAGAAGGTCCCTGTGCGGACTCGCTTGCACAGGTTATATATATTTATGCTATATATTTTTGCTAATTAAAAAAGTCTCCTTAAACGCGTCACTGTGTTACTGATCAGAATAATGCATCGAGTATATAACCAGAAATAGAGACGAAATGTCATTTAATTTGTTTGAAAATTATTCTGCCATATTATTACTGTGACAACTGCGCTCCGATTGGCCAGCCCGAGTTCGAAACAATTGACGGGTGTCGTCAATTGTTTCACTTCAAATGACCACTGAACTCGAACGTTGCTATAATGGACGAAAATTGCAAAATTACATATTTAATATTTAATTACCGATGAAATGTGATTCCGTTTGTTTTGTAATTAGATGTTTTGCTGTTTTTCCTACACCACCGAATAGAATAGAATGGCATTGTTAGAGATATTATCTTTATTACAATAAATACAGAATATTTTTGGAATATACAGAGACGTACACACAGGTCGGTAGTTGACCTGTCTATATCTCAGTGCAAACGAGAGTTGATATTTATAAGAGCTGTATCGCTAATGTGTTAACAGGAATATATGGCCCTTATTTCGTTTCTATTTCTGGTTATATACTCGATGGAATAACGACAGGGTATATATGATATTATAAAAATTAAAATTATTTTAGTCAATAACATCTCAAAGTATTACGTAACAGGTACAAAGGCATAACCATTTGGCAAAAAAAAAAATTAAAAACAATATCAAGTATGAGGCTACTCAAACGCTCCACCTTACTCGTTAAAATGTAAGTGGTACTTGGCCAATCACGGACACTTCTATAGCTAAGTCTCTAGTTTTGTAGCGTTTATTTGAGTTTGTTGTCGGGGACTGTTAACAAAACATATTACATTAAACATTGGTTGGAAAAGTATTGTATGCAATCGTTACAGAATTAGGTCTTAAAATCTCGTACCTAGTCCGGGAGGAGTCCATACATGTTAATAAATAAATAGTGGTTTATTATAGTATTATTATTGTGTATGTTGGTGTATAAGGTATGTATTTATGTGTCAATGCAACCTGAGTATAAATAAATAAATTGAAATAAACTATTTAAATACCTGCTCAACATTAACTTCCATAGTCATGGAACTTAATCAATTAAAAGGATTCATAAAGCAATACTAGCTACTCTCCCCCATAATCCTTCATAATGACATTTGCCCTAAAAGCTCTCGTAATAATAACGATAAAGAAGCAGTAAGTACGTAAGGGCTCTAACTAATAAAATAAAAGAAAAATGCTTTTTATTGTTGTTCGCGATTGTGATCGAAGGAATGATACGTAAGCTGACTATGGCAGATGATTGCGCAACTAGTGTTGAATAGGATCGCACTTACTATTTTTATACATTTACAATACAACGAATTCACTTTTAACTTAGTATAGTTACAACTTGAGGATTTTAAATGTAATTTGCACGTCTATGAACAAGAGTTACAATTATTTTAATTTCATTCAATATCATTAAATCGCCGTAACAAATCTAAGAGTGGTCACACACGGCGACTTAGCAGCGATGCAAACACGCGTTCGTGAAACGCGCGATTGCATCGCTACACTTGCGGTTTATAGGCGATTGGATCGATGCAAACGCGCGACTGCATCGATACAAACGTGCGATTGCATCGATACAAACGCCTGTAAATCGCAAGTGTAGCGATGTAATCGCGCGTTTGTATCGATGTAGTCGCGCTTGCAACGCGTTTGCATTTAAAATCGCGCGCATGTGTAAAGTGACAATTAGCAACTACATCGCGACTGCATCGCGTTTGCATCGCTGCTAAAAGCCGCCGTGGGTAACCGCTCTTACATTTTTCTCTACAAAATACTTAACAATATGATTGTTCGTCAACTCTGGTATCACACATTAATATTATACATAAAGTTTACCAGCACGCCCTGAAAGTAAAATAAAAAATTTCATACCACCACGACTCCGTAAGAATTATACGAGAAACAGTTCTTTTCATCGTTCGTTATCTTTATACATACAATAATACATTTAATGACACGGATTGATTTATGGTATATCATCAAAAAGATTTAAGGTAACCACAACAAACTTTTTATTAGTAATGATACGGCTTAGAGACATAGTAGCGGCCTTTTACCTATACATATCCGCGTATGTAACGCGGATTTGCACTATCCCCGACCAATAAGTTGACAAGTCCCATTCCCATGTGCCTGTAATTTCACCAGCACCCTTTCAATCCGGAATGCAGTAGTGTTCACATTACTGCTTGGCGGCAGAAATAAGTAAGGTGGCACTTATCTTTGACCACGTATACCAATACAATACATAGAAGTTTCTACAA